CTTTCAAAGCTTCGTTCAACCCAAAGAACAGCTCTTGGCTGTCTTCTCGACCTCAACCAAAGGTGCTTCTTCCAGTACTGCTAGCACTAGTGAGTGCTATTATTATTCTACCTGTAAGTTTAATGTATTTATAATAAGATTTCATAATCGGGCTTACGCTTTGACAAAATTTTTTTTAATAATTTAATTCTTTAATTCTTAATAAATTCTTGATAAAGTGGGCAAGAAGGCAGGGTGGCGTTCCTGTAAGTATTACAAAAAATTTATCCAATTTAGATGTAATATCGTCGTTCCCCTAACTAGTAACTCATAGATGGCACTCAAAAAAAAATGCTCATAATCCCTTAATACAGGACATGACTCCCGAATCTACCGAATTTTTCTTGAAACCGGACTTCCTGGTTCGTGACAATGGTGGCAGTCTCGCGACGTTAGGAAGTCCTCTGGGATCCAAAAATAAAGGCTCGATCAAAAAAAATCGTAAACCTTCGTTCTTCGAACAGGTTTTCCGGGGAGTAACAACTAATGTAGATCGGTACCTAACAATCATCTCGTCCCACGATAAATACGAGTGTGTTTGGGAGGGTTTTGTCATGGATGGCACGTTGTTTTTAAGAGGAAATGCGATGGAAAGCGTCAACCTAAAAAAAGAAAGGTACGTTAATTAATGAAATTTTTTTAATAGGAATACAATGGAGATCCACAAAATTTTGGCCTTAACACGAATAATTGGATGCATCTCGCTCCTATTTTGTTTGTGGGGGAATTTTTTCACTTTTTCCGATATTTAGTATCGTCGCTGTTATCGAACTCGCTGAAGAATGCTTAAAATGTCATTCTTTAGTTGTATGTTTTGAAAAGGAAAAGCAATCTTCAAACCTTTGTAAGTTTTTTTTTGTTTAAAATACAACTTTAATGTTGATATTCTAAGAAAAACTTTTCACTTATTTATTTTATTAATTTCATTTCAATGTAATTTTAGCTATGATTACTCGCATTTTTCTATATATTGGATTTGAAATCGTTGCGCCTGGGACTTTCAATCATTCCAACGATTTCATACTCGTTGGAATGGAATTATAATTGTGATTTGTTTTGTTATATTCTTTATAAATAGTGTACTATAAAATTTTATTTTAAAATTTTATTTTTAACATCATGGGCTCCTCTTTTCTTATAGATCATCTTCTTTCATATCTCTGATTTTTTTATTTTATTTCTTTGCTACTTTTTTGGCAATCAAGATTTTGATGTTAAATATTTGAAATTGATAAGAATATACAAAACAATTGTAAATTATTATTATAAACATTTATTATAAATATTTTCATATTTTAGTTTATTAGATTTTTGAATCAACTGAGTTAAAGAAAAAAAAAAAAATAATAATTTTTGAATAAACATTAAATTAAAGAACCCAAAATATGAAAAATAACGTTTTTATTTACCATTAAATTTGGTGTGTTGCCCCATGGCAATTACTTTACCAGAGTTCTTCTGTTTAAGTATGGTATGAGTATTCGTAAGTGACTTACCAATTTTAAATACGGAACTTTCAATTAATAAAGTCTCTCCTGCTCTAGCAGCACTCACATAAGATATTGCCAAATCTGTTGAAA